GCATAGGAAGGGGGACAGGAGTCTGTTCAATCCCAGCTGAGTGACACCTATAGGAACTGGGATACATATGGGCACATTTCTCAAACCTGGTGTAAAAAAGAGCATGAGCAAGATTAAAGAAATCAGACAAGTCTATCATTAGGCCCGTTATGCAAACTGATGCTCTGGTGCTGTTTCTGTTAGGAGTTGGACGCTGCCCTCAACGGTGACCCCAGCTCCACTGCCATAAGCCCTGTGGATACTTCGGAGGGTACAGAGGCAGTACACAGAGGATCATGGAGGATGAAGAGATTGAAGCAAATAAGGACCAGGGGCTCTCCCCAGGGTTGCCAAATGTGTCCAGCAGCCAAGAGCTGTTCTCCACTGCTGACGGACACAGTGAGTCTGAGCAAACACTTTTTGGGGAATCAGGAAGCAGGAGATGAGACGCAGGGTTAAGTGGCTGTGGCTTGTGGAGTGCAGGGCTGAGAGCATGGAGAAGTAGGAGGCTGGCTGCGTCCCTGTGAGTTGCATGTATCCCTGTATATCTAATCCATATGGCCGAGCAGCATTTTGTTGCTCACCATGATCTCAATGGAATCCTGCAGAAAGAGGCTATCAAAACTTTTGGAGGGAATGCCATAGAGAATGGGGAGTTAAATAGCATTTAGTAAGCTAATCAAGTAGTTGATGGATTTTCTGTTGACTACTTGATTAGTCGGTAAGGGGGTTTGCTGCAGCTCTGCTTTTTAAATATAGTAAGAGCTCTTCTTACTTTAAAATGAATTCACATTTCAGAGGCAGAGCTGTTGTGGTCTGAGAGGGTATGTCTACGTTGCATTCCTCTTCCGAGAGAAGAATGCAAATACGGACACCCAAAATTGCAAATGAAGCGCAAAGTGCCTCCTATAGGAAGGAGTGGTGGTGAGATACAAGACTGTTCCTGGAATATGGAATTCAAGGACATGGGAAGGGAAAAGAAAGAATTAAAGTTATTTGCAGACCTTAACACAGAATTTTCAGACTTTTGTTTCTTGATAAATATGAACTTAATTCAGAATTGCTTTTGTTTTAAGGCAAATATTTTGGAAAGTAGATACATTTATGCTCTCACATGTGTATTTAAAAACTCATCTTTAAAAATGTTGGCCTATCTTTCTTTTATAATACAATATTCCAATAAGGACTTTAATTAAAACAATTGATATGTACCAATATAACTATTTTAATAAGGTTTTGTTTATGATTTTTCTTAATGTATTTAAGGAATATATTTTTAAAAATTAAGAAAATAAAACCACGCTGAAATAGTTATCTTCTAGCAGTGACTTTCATTAGAACTATACCTATAGGGTTAAAAACATGTAGGCTGGTCAATGAAACACAAAGAAGCATGATTCTGGAATCAAAAACTATTCTGGTGAAATTGTGTAGCCTCCTCAAACCTAACTGTCAGATAATGGTGCTTAAACTATCAACACAAGTGGAGTTTATAGACTTGGCCAGATCTTTCATTTTACTGGGGAGTTAAGTTTAAAAACAAGTTTTGTCTGTAGGTAACGTTTATAAATACCACATCAATGGACTGTCTGTATAAGCTCCACAGAAAGGATATTATATACTCTGTAGCAACGTCTCCTGTGCTATGTGCTTCAGAATTCACCTATAGCTTCCCCTTTGCCTGTGAGTCAGACTCTTCCGTTACTAAACCTCTTTTCATGTGCAAGAGCCTCTCCCTTCCAAAACAAAGTTCATGGAGTTTACCACACCTGAATCAGAACTCAAACAGTTTATATCTATAGGCTTCCATGGAGAGTGGGGGATGAGTAGAGAGAGCAAGAATACTATGTGACTAAAGACCCATGAATTCCAAAAAGAGTAAAGCTGCATTGGTTTTCAATTGGGATAAGTAAGTAAAAACAATTTTGAAGTCTTGAGGTCAAACAGTGAAAAGCCACTAATTTTATCAGAACATGAACATCAGTTGCCTTATTATACGTCAACTTTTTTTTTCAAAATTATCTTATCTGATCTTCTAAGCATGGACAATTTCAAGCTGAAAAGAATTTAGGGAGATCTTTTTGTGTGCAAAAATGAGGCGGAGAGTGTCAAACTGGTCTTTTAATTGAAACTATCAATCTTAATTCTGGAGTCACTGCTGTGAATCTCTAATATCATTACTCAGTTTCACTGTGCACATATGAGCCTATTCCATATTACCCAGAAAATAACTTACAAGTCCTCCCCTCTGCTTTAGTGAAAGAAATATATCCCACCAATGAATCAAACTGAGTGCCAGACCAATCAAAACTGTTGTGCTGATATTGAAACCAGAATACATATATATGAATATGAAATCAGAAAAAAACAGTCCTAGATGCTCAGTTTTTCACACAGGAATTCATTAAACCTTGTTTGACATTTCAAAGCTGAGAGACAGAATACTATTTATACTAAAAAATAAGTAATATTGTAATGAGAGAGAGAGAGGAAATTATTAACCTTGATCAATAATAAGAAATGTAAAGTATGCTAGGAAATGGGTGGGATAGTAGAGCAGCTGGTTTATTTCTGGTAAATAAAATAATTAGTAATTCCTTCAGGAACTTTGCTTGTATAAGAAAACAACTCAAAACAAAACTGAGAAGTTGAGCTTGGGAAATTTCTCAAAGTTTCATGGAAAATTCATTTGTTTTAGTTAAGAAATGTGACCACTATCCCTTCCCTCTTTTAATTAGAGCCCTATTTATCAAAGGGGGATGTAAAGTTATGCCAGACAGTGAGTGTGTCTATGCTCCCCCCTTTATTCTTGTGCATAAGGATACTACTGGCTCTATACCCTACGCCATCTAAGAAATTGGGTAAATGCATGCTTTGTCCTAAAACCCTTAAGGCTATGTCTAGACTGCATCCCTCTGTCGACCGAGGGATGCAAATGAAATACATCAAAATTGCTAATGAAGCCGGGATTTAAATATCCTGTGCTTCATTAGCATAAATATGGTTGCTGCTTTTTTTCGACACGGAGTTTTGTTGACAAAAAACGGCAGTCTAGATGTGGCTCTGTTGCCAATAAACATTTTTTCAACAGATCCTGTATTCCTCAAAAAATGAGGTTTACAGGATCTGTCAAAAAAGGATTTATTGTCGACAGATCCGCGTCTAGACTGCTGATTTTTGTTGACAAAACTCCATGTAAAAAAAAAGCGGCGGCCATGTTTATGCTAATGAAGTACCAGATATTTAAATCCTGGCTTCATTAGCAATTTCGATGTGCTTCATTTGCATCCCTCTGGCGACAGAGGGATGCAGTCTAGACATAACCTTATAAAGCAAGTGATACCATCATGCCTTCATTTTCTACTTCCAGCATATTCAGATGTATGTTCTCTGACAGCAAGTACAGTATAAGGGTATGGATGTCTGGATGTTCCAGAAGCTAAATAAGTTTCAGAGTTTGAGGACAGAGTATACGGATGTGGGGATAGATATGGGGACTAGGACGTGTGACAGAAGTATGGGAATGAATAGGGAGTCAGAGCATGAATTCAGGTGTGTGAGATATCCAGGTGTGTTTGAATGGTAGAGTTGGCAGTGTGGAAGGCAAAGCATGGTTTTAGAGAAGTGGTTCTCAAAAGTATGGTCCATGGACCATCTTTGCAGGTAGGCTGTGGGGTCAGGGCTTGCCCCCACCATAGCTGGGAGCCTACTCTGACGTTCCAACCCCCCCACCCCAGCGAGGTTGAAGCATCAGTGCTGGCATCCTGCTGCAGAGAAGTGTGTGGGGAGGGGCAAACCTCACAGGCCAAATCCGGCTTGTGGGGACAGGAAGTGGCTCTATGTGCTGCTGCTTCCCATCCCCAGCTGGGGGAATGGCAGCACAGGAAAATGCTCGCTTGGAGGTTTTCCCTGCTGCTACCATTGGGTGGAATCATGGCCAATGGGGGCAGTGGGGGACAGCATCTGGGAGCAATGGGAGGCATGGAGCCAGGTAAGCTCCCTTCATGCCCAGACCCTGCACCCTCATCCCCCTCCTATACACTCCCTCTCTCTCAGGCCCCCCACTCCCAACCTATTGCACCCTACCTCCTAGCCAGATCCCCTTCTGCACCAATTTTGTCATCCATAGTTGGCTGGTGGTTTACAGAAAGGTCTCTCTCCATTGAGTGCAGGCCAAAAAAATTGAGAACCACTGCTTTAGGGAGATATGGAAAGAGAGTGGAGCCAAGAATGTGAAGAATACAGAAACTAAAAGCACAAGTATTTGGAAATTGCCGGATGACTGGGGAGTTGTTGGAAAACAGGAGAGAACAGAAGTGGCCAGTTTGATGTGTATCTTTATGAAGCATAATGATGGGAATTTTAGGGATATTGGTTGTACATGTTGTGGTTTGGAGGGCATATTTGAGGAGACGGTCTGGGTGTGGGAGTGTTGTGTTAGTGCTGAGAGAGTGGAGGCCCAAGGGAATTTACAAATTAAGAAAAAGGCAGTATATATTTACACCAGAAAGCCCCTAAATCCTGGAGTCATAATTATGTCATAGTCTCAGCTACTATTGTTTTTTTAAAGTAAGTCTCTAACCCTTGTGGATGCAAAGAAAAGCTTGAGAATGGTACAGGAGTGTGACCAATGCAGTGATATCTGCTTGGGTCTGCAGAGAACCTGGGAAAAGAATAGCTCAGATGGTACAGAGATAAGTATGGTATAAAGCTGCATAGGGTCAGTATGCTGGGCAGGAGACTGGAGGACAGCTGAGAAGAAGGTTAGAGAGGGTGTGTATGAGGTGGAAGTGGAGCAGGATGGAGCAGTGGGAATGTGATATATGTTAAAGTGGAGAAATTCTGGTGTGGGTGAGACCTGGCAGGGAAGGGACCTGAATGAATGGACAGTACCCAGGGGCAGGGATGGGGCCAGGCTTGGGCTGTTTGCATAGCTGAAGGCTCTTTGGGGCAGGGAGGTGGAGCATGTGCAGTGGGTGCAGCAGGAAATATGGGCTACAGCCCAGCTGTGATTAGCTCACCCGGTTGTTGCGGTCAGTCTCCTGCACCTCCTCCTCCTCGGGCCCCTGGCGGATCAACGCTCTCAGCACCACGGCGTTGTTGGTGCAGCAGGCTCGGAAGAGGCTCAGGGGCTCAGGGCTGCTGTCCTCTGACTCCCCCAGAGACCAGCTCTCCTCCTCATCCTCCTCGCCACTGGGTGGGTAGAAGGAGTCATCCGAAGCGATGCTGCGGGTGTCGGGCAGCTCAGAGAAATCCTCGTACTCCTCATAGTCTTCTTCTTCCTCTGCTGCCACCATCTGCACCTGCTGCTCCCCCTCCAGGCCCTGTGGCTTCTTCTCCCCCCCTGGATCAGGCTGGACCTTCTGCTGCTCTCCCTTCTGACTTCCCACAGAGCCCTGCGAGTCCCCAGCCCCTGTCCCATCCCCAGACAGCAGCACCATGCTCCCTGCACTGGGGCTTGGGAGAGGCAATGGGGGCAGAAATCACCCTTCCCAAGGGGGCCACGGACACAGCTGCTATTCCTGATCCTCACACAGGGAAGGGGCACCCCAATGTACTGAGCCCCACAAACTCCCACAGTTCCCTCTCCCCCCACCCGTCACACAGAGATCCCC